TGTAGATGAATGTAAACTGTAGAGTCCTGACCTGTAGATGAATGTAAACTGTAGAGTCCTGACCTGATGATGTTGTTCTTCTGTGTTGGCCCATCCTTTTGAACAGTGGCTGCTTTGTTTACCCAATGTGTAACTGATCACAGTCCTGGCATTTAACAGCATACATTGCATTACTCTGTCTGTGTTGGGGAGAACCAGTCTTTGCTGTAACATGTTTTGGGGTTTGAAAGTCATCGTGATACAATATTTAGAAAATAAATGTCTCAGTTTCTAAAAAAACAACAACCTCCCACTAGAATGAATGACTATCCAGAATGAAAACTGGTCTGGGTCTGGGTTCTCCTTATCAGTCGACACAACAAAGAAATAATCTACCAAACCATTTTAATTTGTGATTTTAATGTATTAGTTCTCAAACTAATTTTATATCCAAAATTGTCAACACTGATGATACTTTGTATGGTTGGCAAACAGGATAAAGTTTAGTTTGTTCAAAACTGTTGAAAAGTCATGTATTTGTAACGGGAGCATATTTGTATATAAATGAAGGAGCAGCATGTTGTAATGTGTAAATGTGTGAGACTTATTTGCTTGTTGGGCAACAGTTGGACTGCTAGATGAGATTAAATGAGGCAGCTCCCTACAGGGTTTAAACCAAGCTTGGACAGTAATGGGCACGTCACACCAAATATGTCACATAAAACAGGGAGGGTGCTGAGTCGCTTTACTCCATCTGAGCCAAACCTGCATCCATCTGCCTCCTTTGTTGAAGAAAATCAGGTCACCAAAAAAACAGAATGCAAACATTGCTGCAGACTTGGTTTAATAGATATGCTTTTATTCTTGTWTAATATGAGGAGAAAGCTACAGAAATAATTTGTTTTCCTTATTTTGTTTCCTTATGATCAAAGCAGAAACAATTATAGCAATAAAACAGCAGCAGTATTCCTTTGTGACAGCACAGCTTTATCTGTAAGAAGAGCCTCTGGGGCACAACAGATAGGAAAAAATGTTTCTGTTTTATGAGGAAAAGAGAAGAAATTGACTGAGGGGTTCAAGGAATTTTACGTTGGATTGTTAAAAAAAAGGCAGCCATTTTGACCAATTTCAGGAGTACAGAGAAGGAAAAAGAACTGGTATTCTTTCTTCAGGTTAAGAAGAAGCCATGTTAGCAGATGGGTCTGGACATCCTGACAGCAGAACATTTGCTGTCTTGTGTGACCAGCTCTTCACCCCAGCTGAATGATCATTAGTACTGGAAATAAGAAGGAGGGACTATCTGCCTCATCTCTGGTTCTTTTCTCATGAAGAAAATGTGACAGAATAGTAAAAAAAAATACTGCTGGATCCTGATTTCATTTTAATTGTCCAGATGAAAGTTAATATGGAAAAACGAAAAGGAAATAAAATATAAGAGGTTGGCAGAATTTCCAAACATGAGTGAAACCAAGACATTTGTGACATCAATTTTTGAAATACAACATGTGGAATAAACTTTAAATGGCTAGATGTGATCWTTTTGTAATCATTTTGTGTGACTATCTTACTCAACTTGTCAAACTCTGATCTCAAAAAGAATTACAAATGTTCACGGGAACGTTATTTCATAGTTTTTTCAGTGCTGTCAGTTTTGCATTGTGCCTTTTTTCTGGCAGAAATACTAAACCTGCTGAAACAGCTCCAGCAGGCTCTTACAGGTGTTACAGCTAGCTGCTGCTGCTRTTTGTGGGAACAATCATAAAAAGATATGTTGCATATTCTAAAACTGACACAAGGTTAGCAAAACTGCTCCTATACAAGATTTTTGCAGCAATTATTTCTTTTCTATTATTATTTCCAAATTAGCCATGTTGGATTTTGAAGTTTCTCTATTAGATCAAATTGCAGACGATGCTCCTCTTCCTTTTTATTACTTTTTGCCGGCAGTTCTTTCAACATATGTTGAAAGCAAGATTTCTTTTGTAGTTTATTAATTTTATGATGAACTATTAGTACTTTTACTTTAATGCACATTTTGATTCCATTAATCCTGAGGCTGCAGGTTCAAGTCCAGGATGTAGCAGAAAGGGCACCACGTAAAATAAATAATAAATCTTTTTCGACGCCTCACAGCAAAAAGATCCTGGGTTCGATCCCTGGTTCGGACCTGGGGTCTTTCTGTGCAGAGTTTGCATGTTCTCCTCGTGCTTGTGTGGGTTTTCTCCAGGTACTTTGGTTTCCCCCACCCCCAAAAACATTTACAATAGGTTGTCCTGATGCATCTCAGTAATCCAGGTAAAAAAAATCAAAAAGAAAAAAATTGTATAGGTCTTCTGGACGGGTTC